ATGCTAATGAGCTTATAAGATGGGTGGACTTCAACTCCCAGAATTCCATGGCCAGGATGCTAGTAAACTTTTTAAAGATGGGTGGACTTCAATTCCCAGAATTCCAGAATTCTGGGAGTTGAAGTCCACAAGTCTTAAAATCACCAAGGTTGGACAACCCCATCCTAAAGTATCCCTATTGAGGAGAAATACTTTTTAGAAGCCTAAATCTTCCCTTCCTCCTGAATCTTCCCAGCTCCTTTTAGTTTCCTGTTTTGTTCCTCCCTTCTTCCTTCTTTTTTTGAAAAAAAACCAACAACAACCCCAAACCAGCTGATAGGCCCTCAAAGTGACTCTTCCTTCATACCAACCTTCCTCCGCCGGGTGTCCTTTTCTTCCTCCTCCTCCTCTTCCTCCTCCTCAGGAGCGGGGTGCCTGCCTCTCCGATCCACTGGATCCTTCCGATCTCTCTTCTTGAGGTCCAAGTCAACTGATGGACGGTGGTGGCCATGTCTCACCTTGTTGTGGTTCTCCTCCTCCTCCTCCTCCTCCTCCTCTGCTTCTTCCTGCCACGGCTTCCACCCTTTGTGGAGGTGGGCTTTGGCCTTGGAGCTTTTAAGGCCCTTCTCCTCTTCAAACTGAGCCGTCTCCTCGTCGCTGGCCTTCTCTGCCACCCTCTTGGCCACAGAAGGTCTCCTCTCTTCTCCCTCCCACTTCTCGTCACTGCTGTGTCCTCCGCGGTGGTATTTCTCCTCCTCCTCTTCTTCTGAGGCGTCATCCCCCTCTTCTTCATCCATTCTAAAGCGTCTCTTGCCCATTTCCTGCCTCTCCCGGCCTCCTTCATCTCCCCGAAGCATTCCCTTTTGGATTTGGGGCCGCCTGGAACCTCTTTTCTTGACGTGGCCAAAATACTCCTTGGAGTGCCACGTCTCCGAGGAGACCCTCTTCTTTATTTCTCCCTCCTCCTCTTCCTCCTCCTCCTCCTCTTCATCCTGTACCTCCGAAGCATCTTCATCTCGAGAGACCTCAGCTTTCTCCTTGGAGGTTTTAGCTTTCTCTTCCTTCTTCTTCCCTTCCTCCTCTTCTTTCTTTTCGCTGGCGTGCTCTTCCGCCTTCTCAGGGGCAGCTACCTTCCGTTGGGCGGGCTCATCCCTCTTCTCGAGTTCTCCTTGTTGCTTTTCTTCCCGAGAATTGTGGTTCGATTCTTGGGCCAGGAGATGCTTTGTATTTTCTGGAAATGAACGGAAGGCATTGAACAAAAAAAGTAAAGGTTAAAAGTAAAAAAAAAAAATAACAGGGAAAATTATTTCCTTCGTGCCACCATTCTGCTCATTCTGAATTCTGTAATTCTTACACTGCTGTCTAACCTCTATGTATGCTTTACCCGTGTAGTATGGCTTTAGTAATAATATTTGTCCTTACCTTCTTTACTACCTCCTCCTGTTGGGATTATTATTTTTAATTTATGCATTTTTCTTTAATATACATAAGTGCTTCATGAACAGTGTATTGTCTGAGTCAAATTATACATCATAATAATGGTAATAAATTTGTTGATTTATCTCTATATATAAAAGCGAACTTCAGTGGGTTCTTTTGCAGGAGAAAAGTAGAACTTCAATGGTTTTTTTTTCCAGGGGAGTGCAGCTCCTGAGTCCCCCTTTCCGAGACGCCCAGCCACGAGTGGGCCCAAGATAGCACCCTAAAAGGACCCCTTCCTTACCTTCCATCTCCACTTCGCAAAGAACCGAACTCAAGAATTGAGTTGCTTACCTTGATGGGCGAGTTCCTCCAGCTCCCTCAGCAGATGCCGCTGATGAAGCATCGTCAGGACTCTGTCGTCTGAAACGGAGCTCGTGTTAACACTCCCAGAATAACAAACCCCACCCAGATGAGTGAATTCTACTTCATCGTAATAGACCTAGACTTATACACCACTTCGCAGTGCTTTAAAGGCCCCCCTGAGTGGTTTACAGAGTCGGCCTCTTGCCCCCCCCCCCCAACAATCTGGGTCCTCATTGGACCGACCTCGGAAGGAGGGCAGGCTGAGTCAACCTTGAGCCGGTCAGGATCGAACTGCTGGTAGTGGGCCAAATTAGCCTGCATTCTAACTCCTCCTCCACCACGGCTCTCCTCTCATGCTAAAGAAGCTTGCAAGTCTGAAACTACAGTTGTTCCCCTGATCTCCTTTACCACCCAGGAAACTAGGGAGGGTTTGCGGAGTGGAGGAGGAAGAGGAGGACTAGGTGCTCTCTAAGATGGGTTATTTTTCTTGCAAACGTTGAGGAGGAGGAGGACTGTGGGGTCCTTGGAATTCAGAGCTTGGTGATTTTCTTGCAGACATTTCACTACCCAACTAAGTAACATCATCAGTCCTAGAAGAGAGTGGGGCTTGTGGAGAGGGGGAGGAGGAGGAAGAAGACTGTGGGGTGCTTAGAGCTGTCTGAGCTTGCAGAGGTTTATTACCCAATGCAGAGAGGAGGAGGAGGAGGAGGAGGAAAAGGGGGAACAGGGGAATCTTTGGTGCTGTCTGAGCTTTGGTGGTTTTCTTCAAGATGTTTCATGACCCAACTATCAGTGCTAGAAGGAAGTGGGATATGTGGAGAGGAGGAGGAGGAGGAGGAGGAGGAGGAGGAGGAGGAGGCCAAATCTCCACTTACCTTCCCTCAGGACCTTCATGCAGTCGCTGGTCACCGGCATTGGGCTGGATCTGGACAGGGTGTCTGCTAAGATTTCTGAGATGCATTTAATCACCTGGCCCAAAAATCAGAAGAAGGAAGAAGACAGGAAATTAGGGGCAGAAGCTATTTCGAGGGTCTCTCTCTGCAGCGGGGAAGCCAGGTTCACTGAACAACCGTGGTACTAAATCCACAACTGCAGCGATGCACTTAAGCAACGTGGCAAGAAAAGTCGTGAAACGGGACAAAAGTCACAAGTGTCTCACTGAACGACACAAAGTTTGGGCTCATTTGCACTCGTAAGTCAAGGACTACCTGTATATTCCTCACTCACTCACTCCCCCCTTTTCTTTTACCGTTTCATCGTCCTTGGACAGCTGAGTAGGTACGGGCAGCGAAAATGCTGGGGGGGGGAAAAGAGAGAGAGAAAGCATTATATTCCAATATTCAAAATGTCAAATATTCAAACATGCCTCCGTTTCAGCAGCAAAACCCCGGTGCTTGGCTAGCTTGCTAGGTTTTGCACTCGTGACCAGCCTAATCTTTATCGGACTTTCCTTCCTGTGACATGGGAATAAAAGAGCAGAGGTGGGACTTGGATTAATAATTTAATTTAATTTAATGTAGTTGATGTGGATCAAAGAACAGAACAGAATAAGAAAGTCAGAAGGGACCTTGGAGGTCTTCTAGCCCAACCCCAGCTCAGGCAGGAAACCCTTGATATTTTCAGCCAAGTGGCTGTCCAATCTCTTCTTAAAAGCCTCCACAGGTTTGGAGCATCCACAACTTCTGGAGGCAAGCAGTTCCACTGATTAATTGTTCTAACTATCAGGAAATTTCTCCTTAGTTTTAAGTTGCTTCTCTCCTTGATTAGTTTCCATCTGTTGCTTCTTGTCCTGCCTTCAGGTGCTTTGAAGAATAGATTTGACTCCCTCTTCTTTGGGGCAGCCCCTCAAATATTGGAAGACTGCTATCCTGTCTCCCCTGATCCTTCTTTTCTTTTTTGTAAAAGTTTTATTTCAATTTTCCACATTTTTAAAGAAACATCTTTTTAGTGAACAGCATGATTCCAGGTTTTCACATCTCCATACATAGTTTAGTTTACATATTCATCTTTCAAATTTAGTTCATATCTTACCTCTACTTTACATATTTTCTATTAATTTTTCACAGATACTTTCCTCAGGCTTATTTATAAATTTTCAATTCATTTCTTAGCGTATTTCTTTTAGTTTTAAATAGTTCTCATATCATCCAATTCATTATACTTATACTTTTATCTCTCATGGTTACAATTTCATCATATTCTCATTTCATCATTTCAAAAATTCCACCTTAATTCAAACATTTTAAAACAAAAATTTCCCCTACACATACCAATTAAAGTGTGCCACCCCTATAACTTATATATCATCTAATGAGTTCCTTTTTAAATCCCAATAATCATTTAACTTGATTATCCCCTTAAACATTTATAAGTCATCTTCTAACAACTACCTAACAAATATACCTTTTATATCAGATTCTGCATGGTGCTTTCCCCTTCAATTATATCAAAAACATTTTATTTATTTATTTTATTTATTTGGTTTGTCAATTGCTTACAAGATAATAGGTATAAGTAAAAACATAGTTATGAATACATGGATACATATAAGAAAAATGAAGAATAGGACAGGGATGGTAGGCACGTTGGTGCACTTATGCAGGCCACCTACAGACCTCTTAGGAAAGGGGTGAGGTCCACAGTAGACAGTCTAAGGTTAAAGTTTTTGGGGTTTGGGGAAGAAACCACAGAGTCAGGTAGAGTATTCCAGACATTGACCACTCTGTGGCTGAAGTCGTATTTCCTGCAATCAAGTTTGGTGCGATTAACCTTGAGTTTGTATCCATTGTGTGCTCTTGTATTGCTATGGTTGAAGCTGAAGTATTGACAGGTAAGGACATTGCAATGTATGATTTTATATACCATACTTAGATCAGATCGAAGACAGCGTAATTCAAGGTTTTCTAGGTCTAGAATTTCAAGTCTGGTGGCATAAGGTATTCTGCAACAAGTAGAGGAGTGGAGAGCTCTTCTTGTGAAATATTTCTGGACTTTCTCAACTGTGTTAATATCAGATACGTAATGCGGGTTCCAGACTGATGAGCTGTATTCGAGTATTGGTCTAGCAAATGTTTTGTATGCTCCAGTTAGTAGTGTGATATTACCAGAGAAAAAGCTACGTAGGATTAGGTTAACAACTCTTAATGCCTTTTTGGCTATGTAGTTACAGTGGGCTCTAGCACTTAGATCATTAGAGATGAGTACTCCAAGGTCCTTGACAGAGTTTGGATCATCAACAAGGTCTTGACTTTTTGTAGTATCACAAGAAAAATTAATCTATTCAATTCATCGTAAAAAACTGATATCAATTTTATTACAACAATTGTCATATTTCATTTCAACTGTATTCTATAAGATCATTAAGCCTAGTCCTTCTTTGCATTAAGATAGAGATACATTTCTTTCGAACTTTTGTACATCAAGACAACCAAAGCAGGTTCTTATTTAAAGCAGGTTGTTCCTCTTGCCGTGGGAACTATCTTCCTTACATCTCCACTTTGAGGTGCCAACCTTCTCTTCTTTCTTCTCTCTCCTCTCCTCTCCACCTCCTCCGCTCTCCCTGTATTCCTTCCTTCATTCCTTTTCTTCCTTCCCTTCCCTTCCTGCTCCCCCTTCTCCTTTTATTTTCTGATCCCCCTTCTTAGGCTAAAAAGCCCAGAAGAAATGAGACAGATTAAACCAGGATCGTTGTTCAACCTTGGCAACTTTTAAGACCTATTCAGCATGAAGGCTGAGGAATTCTGGGAGTTGAAGTCCAGACAGAGGTCTTAAAAGTTGCCATGGGCGTGGACGTTCTCTGAATTAAATCTTCCTTATTTTTATCTCTCCATTCAAGAAAAGCCTTTCAGCTGCTTCATTTGGGGACGCCAAGCTGCTGTTCAAGGAAATATCAGCAAGGGGTAGGCAAAGCTTCTTTCCAGCCAGAATAACCATGAATATGTTTAAATTTTTATTATTTACTTCTTAAATCGATGCACTGGCTCTCTCGCTGTCCTGTGACTCTGGCCAGCTTATGATCTGATGTTAAATAACTCTCCCCAGACCCTCTTAATGTCCTCTTTACCAGACCCACTGTTAGTTTTTAAAATAAGACCTCCAAGGTCTTTTCCAAGCCCTGTTATTCTGTAGTTCTGTTCAAAGGACCATGTGATGACTAAATAACTAAAAGTGGGGGGAGGAGTCTGTCATTATGGGGTTTATCATCTCTGGGGAGGGGCTTTTAGAAAGACAGAGAGAAGGACTTAAGTTTTTCAGGTGTGCCAATCTGACTTACATAAGAATTACATAATGCTAGAGACTGCACAATAATAAATCCAAAAAAAAAAAAACCAGAATGAATAGAAAACATAAATCATACACCAGAAGGCAGCAGCTCCTTCTCTCCCTCCCCATCTACCCCCACCCCATCCTTCACCCCAATTAACAGTTCCCTTCTAAGCATGTTGTGTTGCTGGTTGCTGGTTTTTACTGGTTTGCATGAGTTTGGAATTTTTATCATCATCATCATCATTTGGATGCCCTCCTTCATTTAGGAGCTCAAGCTGGGTGACTTTAAGAAGGATGAACTTCAACTCCCAGAATTCCCCAATTGCCCACTTTCGTTGAAGAATTATGGGAGTTGAAATCTACACAGCTTAAAGCAGGCATGCTAGGGAATTCTGGGAGCTGAAGTCCAGGCATTCTAGCTGGGGAATTCTGGGAGTTGAAGTCCACCCATCTTAAAGTCACCAAGGCTGACAACAGTGACTTAAAGCAAGGATAGAGAAGACAGAAACTGGGCAGTCAGACTCTGCCATGAAACCATTTACTTATGAATTACTTTATTTTTTTAATTGAAAAGCAATATTGGGGCAGCACATCCACTTTTGGGAGGGCACGCTGGAAGCATCAGGAAAAAAAAACCCTGAAAATGCAAAAGTAATTTCCCTTATGATTTAAATACCACCAATAGGAAAATATAAAACTAGGTCATCCGTCCCACTGATTATGATATGCTAGCTTAAAGCATTTAGCAAAATGCTTTCCTTTTAGACCGTAGCAGCTCCTAAAAACTGAAGACACAATGGAACCATTCCCCAATTGTTTTATTTAGAAATGGATCTGCTCCCTAGAAATCCTGATTTAGCTTCAAAAAAAACAAACCCTTTTATAACCAGGATGGGATGCCAGCTATTGAAGAGCCGTGGCTGCACACCAATAACATGTTTCATCACACCGACCGGTCTCCCATTACAAACCAGTACACTGCATTGCCCAAGAAATCCATCAAGCCTTTTGGCCAACTTTCAAACTACAAAATGCGGCTAGTCTGTTGCCCAAACCCAGGCAGCGAGCCCATTCACACCATCCAAGTATTTCAGGGACGGGAAAGAGGTGTGTGTGCTTTTTAAAAATTGCCTGGAGAGGAAAGAAAAAAACAGGATTTTAAGTCTCAGCTTGCTTGGCAGCAAAAGGAGCCGCTCTCCAGGGTGCTGAAACCCTCCGGCTTGGAATCCCGTCCAAGCGCTGACTCTGCCTTCCATCGGGACGAAATCCGAATCTAAAGCAAATAGGTTGTTTCGTTTAGCGGAACGGGACCAAAAATAAAATAAAATAAATCAACCCTGCTACCAAGATAACCGCTTGGTATTGTCTCATATTCAGCATGGCGTTTTAGAAAGGAGGCGGATTTTTTTGTGGGGGAAAAGAGGCATTGAAAGAGAGGGAACAAAAGGAACCGGAGGAAGGAAGGGAGGAGGAGTTTGGGGGTGGGGGGGAATGGAAAGGTTTTTTTTTTTAAACAATGCAACCGGGGAAGAGTGAGCAGCATTCAAGGAGAAGATTGAGAGAGGTTGAAGATCACTCCGGCAGAAAGGTTTAAAAGAAGCTGATATGGTCGTCAGCTCGCAGCTTCAAAGCTGTGCAAGATGACTGTGTTGGTTGGTTTCGTTGGAATGAAAGCAGCAAATGAATCCGGGCAGCCTTCTCCAATCTCCTGCTGTCTTAAGTTAGAGTGGGCTCAAACTCCTAGAAGACCCAGCAGTATCTGGGGCAGGTTAAGAGGAGGCTTTCTTGGCCAGGGGGTTGGACTAGATGATCTCTATGATTCTTGCAGCCCCATAGTCAGAAGGTAACAGATTGGGAGGAAAATCTAGTATAAGGTCTATTTTAACTTCAGGTTTTTCAGAAGAGATCGGACAGGGTCTCCTGATTGAGCAGGGGGCTGGACTAGAAGACCTCCAAGGTCCCTTCCCACTCTTTTATTCCGTTAGGATACATTCGCAAGTCAGATTCTTCCCCTTCAAGGACAAACAACACCTGAGGTCACCAAAAGAATATAAAAAGCTCTTTTTGACTTGCAAAAAAAAAAAACACACCCCATGCCTTTCATGGGAGGGTAGAGGGTGGGAAAATCCAGCAGGAAAGACCCTCATGGTTACAAAACCCAGATTCTACGTCCCCAACCAAGATGTCCAGAGACCACCAAGCTCCTTAGCCGCCAATCTGCAGGTGAAATTCAAGAAGAAACCCCGCCGGTGGGCTGCGCCGAGGCTGCTTAAGTGCTTCATGGAGCACGATCAGAAATCAGGGGAGGGGGGAGGGAAAAAAAACTTTGGAGGGGACGTTCCACTCGCGTCTTGGTCCCGGGGATGGAGAGCTGGGAAGGGGAAGGGGAAGGGATGGAAAGCGCACTCCGGGTCTTACCTTGGCAGAGGAAAAAGAGCTGCAGAAGCGAGGCTTCCAGAGAAACCATAGCTTCAACCCCTGGCCAGCTGCTTCTCTCGTCCCTCTTGGGGCGGTGGGTTTGGGGGGAGGGGAGAAGGAAAGGAAACCACAGAAAGGACTAAAAGAGGGAGTGGGTGTGTGTGTGTGTGGGTGGAGGGAGAAACCCCACACAAAGCGTTGCACTTGCAGCAAGCCGGCCAACGTCCTTGGATGCGGGAGCCCGAAGGACTTTCTCTTGTGGAACTGAACAGACTCGCATC